TTTAGCAGTATACAAATGTAATTTCTAGGACACAGGGTTGAAAAGATGAGAGCCATGAGGCTGAAACAAAACAATAAAGTTGCAGGTCATAAAACCAAAACAATGAGCTGAAAGTTGCCAAAATGCTCAGGGGGACAGCAGATTGGGGTCATAATTCTCTGCAAACCCGTCACTACGAGGGACCACTTTCACATTACACATAGTCATCCCATCCATCCATGCTGATTGTGCATCTTTAATGGCGTAATGGCTGCCATCCCTCATAGAGTTGAATAGGATCCTGTTTGCTAACTGCAGATTTAAATTTTGGTTCCATTACAGCTCATTAAACGGGGCAGCCTGTGCAAAAGAGAAATTTAGAAGTAAGTGACATGTCACGACTTCATTTAGCATTACTCACTGTCCACTATGCTGTCTAGAGATAAGCTAGCTAATAGGTCCAAAATGAATGTTCAGTCCACAATTACACTCCTCCACCCTCGCTTTTTTTTTTTTTTTTTCTTCTTCCGACCCTCCAGATGCATCTCTGTGGCAAGGCAAATGTCACTAAATGCCAGGCCGGCCTTACCATTCCAAAAGCTAAATGTTAGTTCATCTGTTGTGTCAATTTCCACTCAGCCTGACCAGCTGTTCTCTGTGTCGGCCCTTTTTAACCTCAGTGACAGGAATATGAGATTGACCCTTTGGCCTGTGCAGGAATTGGGGAAAACCATGCTTTTTTTTCCCATCATGGATCAATAATTCCGTTTGTTTTTAATACCCCCATATAAAAGATTAACACCAGACCACACAAACTGCGGAGACATTTTCATTTAGTCTCGTTGGAGCTGACAATCTGCTTCTCATTGTTAGTCAGTTTTTTTGTCAGACATTTTTACAAAAGGCACTGAAGGAAATGAGACATCTCGTTTGCTGCTTTTAAAGTGCACACTTTTGTTCATGAAAAGCATGATTCATCAAAAACATGGGTGACATATTTTGCACGTCCTTTTACAAATACTACGCGGCTATAAACAGTTTGGCACGGCGTCTTTTCCGCTCCAAACTTTCGGATTCAAACTTCCTGACAGTTTTTTCCGCATGTGAAGTTGTCCACTGAGTGATGGCATCCGGAGGACAATGAACCTTTGTTGTGTTAATTAAAGCTTCATGAAATGAGGCAGACGGAGAATAAGCAAAGGCCCCAAGCTTCAGTCAGGCATGTTGTTGGAATAAGAATATTGCTTCCACGTAATTAGGTTTAATATTGTACTTAGAGGAATGAATCCAGCTTTATGAGAATTCAAATCCAAACAAAGCACCGCAATCAAATGTTTAATCAAATATTTAAACAAGGAATATGTATGAAAACAAGACTGTTGCGTATTATGGGTGAAATGCCCCTTCAAAAAAAGGGGAACTAGTCGCAGAGCATACACATCTAGCCATATTGCATGCCCTGTTAGTTAGCTATGAAGTGAAAATGAGCATCCTACTCTGTGGGATTCTGCCTGACAAGTATGTGCAAATGGAGTGAATCTCTTGAAGTATACCCTAGGTAACAGTCCCCCCCCCCACTCTCTCTCACTCTCTCTCCCTCTCTCTCTCCAGTCTCTCCCTCTTCCCTTCTCCCACAGTGACACTCAACATCTGTAGCCACAGTGACACAATCTGCAAGTAATCCATAACCATAAATCCAATGACATCTCATCTGGGTGGTGGTGGGGGCTTACATCCCCGCCAACACAGGAGCAATATCACCGTCCACTAGCCAAGCATCTCCAGCACCTCCAGAACCTTGAAATTAGAACAACCGAGTAGCGGATATCATCCGCACACATTTATTTATTTTTTTTAATCCTCGCTGACACACATTCCCAGGCACACACTGTACCGGTGTGGACATACTGTATGTACCATTTCATCCGCTAATAAATCAGGCTAATTTGGCATTTTATTAAAAATCCGATACGGGCTGGTCAGTGTCGTCCACCACCAATATTACGAAGGTTCTTCCGTGACCGCAGCTTGTGAATACATCACTGTCCACTGAAAGCAATTGCAGCGTGACACGGGGATGTATTTCTCAGCTGCTTCAGAGGCAACTGTCTCTAATCCTGTAATGAAACATGCCTCATCCTGCCTTAAAGTTGGACTGTGGAACTTTTGAAAGAAGAAATTACACATGCTCCGTGCTCAACTGAAAAGTTAAATTCAGCAATAAAACGCACCCTTGCTCAATTCAACACACTCAGGGATTTTGCAGCTACATCCTTACTCGGTCTGGTATGAGCTTATGGCGACTAATGTTAGCTAAAGTTTGCAAACTTTATAGAGATAGTGCTATGTAGCTGACACCACTATCATCAATGGCTTAATGACACTTGCAGTGCAACTATAAGGGTACATTTCAAGCATTATCCTGTAATGGTTACCATAGTTGTTTGTTAAATAGGTTTGCTTTAAAGCTGTTCCAAATTGACATTGCAAAAGCATTCTTGATATGAGAAGACATCTTTTTGCTATGCTGTGATAGCGCCATTAGTCTGCTGTGTCAACTCCCAAGCATCAGTCAAAAGAACAAGAACAAAAAAGAACAAAGAACAAAATAATTGGAGGACAGAGCAGAGAATATTTACAATTTCGGGCAATAAAACTAGTCAAATTTTGAAAAATAGAAAACAAACACAACATCAAAAGGGCTATTGACTGCTTTGGCTCAATGACACCAATACTAATATTAAGCATCCCATATTTGTCAAATGCTAATGCACTCCAATAGTGAGGTGAGGCACATTAAACATATCAGGAATAATGGAAGCTTTAGTCTCATTGCTTTTTTCTTGGTTTTGGTTTCCACTTGTAATGCAGTAATGCTGTTTTTGAAGCATTTGAGACCACATCTTTAGGTTAGACTATTGATTTCTTCTGTCCAGATTCTCTCAGTCATTTTAGTTTTTCAGTGCTACACACTGCATTGTACTGTACTATAAAATCCATTTACCACGTACAAAGAATTAGTTTCTCTATAAAACTCCCAATCTTGTATTTCCTATTGTCCAGTAAGGCATTTTAAGTCTCCATGATAGCATCAAGTTCATGCTGTATCTTGCTCCAAGGCTATCTCTATGGTAAACAGCCTGCGATAACCATCCTTATTATGTCTGATGCTGCCAAGTTGTCACCATCTATGAAATAACACCACTATTAGCAGCTAATGGTGACCTCCGCAAAAGACAGATTTCGGGTAAAGACACGATCCATTTTCCGGGGGTCAAATACAAGTGTAATGTGTAATGTTGTGTAATGGTGCCCTTCAATCACAACTGAGGTCACTGGAGGACGCCTGAGCAACAGAGAGTGTGGTGCTAAAGACATCACATCAGTTTTAAAGATTAGCATAAGCACAGATGGATGGTTTGGAATGGCAGCGTAATTAGAGCTTGTTATGGCAATTTATGATGGTATAACACAATATCTCAGAGAAGCCTGTAGACTAAGTCGGTTAATATTTCATTGTCAAAACACTGATGTGGGAAAAACTGCAAAAATTAGCATAAGATAGGCAATAAGCACAACTATATATTCCCCCTATGCCAAGCTTTAAACATACCCCATACTTAAATTCCCAAGGCTTTGGAATGCTTGGGAATTCACATTTAGAGAGCTGATATAGCAAGACTTACTCAGGTGTTATCAATAAATCATCCCACTGGCGTACTAAAGTGATTTATAGTATCAGGAAAAAAACCTAACCTGTGAAATGATCTTATATGTTGTGCGAGTGTTAGGGTAGGGGATTGTACAATAGCACACATGCTGGTTTGCCAAGAGATGGCCTACCAGGTAGCTGTGCTCTTTTTAGGGCAGCTAATGTTAGGTGATGACAGCTTTTGGACTCACGCAGGGTTCTGAGAGGGTTTTATGAGAGCAAAATATCACTAACAATCTGCTCTGGAGAAGAGATGCTAATTGCCAGTTCTAGGCCTCAGTGTGGCGTGATGGAGGGATTTCTAAAGGGACTGTCTGGTAAAAGAATTTGGAGACAGATTGTTTGATTACTTGTTAATGTGAATTCTCAGCAGGTTGCACTTTTAGTTAGGGAGATATTTGACAGAGGCAAAGCTGCTCTTGGGGCAGGTTCAAATAAAAAGTCCAAACTACACATACTACAACTACAGTATTGATGTGGGCTAGCTTTTCTGAGCTTTCTTGCTTATCCAGTTGACCCACCCAAGCTTCCAAGTTCAAACTCCAAAGTTAATTAATTCCATGGTTAAAAATGATTGAATTACTGAGAAGAGAAAGGTGTTGTTTATGATCTTCTTGTATTCTTATCCCTCTGAGTTGCCTAATATCCTCCTGAAAGCTGGATTTAAAAGTGGTGCTTGTCAGATGGATTTAGAGCTGGAACAGTTGGTCGATTCGAGTAGTGGACTGACAAAACAATAATCAGAAACTATTTTGATAATTGTAATCAAGTACATTTTCGAGCAAAAATGCCAAACATCCCCTAGTGTAAGGATTTGCTGCTTTTCTTTGTCTTACGTGACAATAATTAGAAGATATTTGGGTTTAGGAGCATTAGTTGAACAAAAAAGCAATTTAATAGAATCACCACGGGCTTTAGGAAATTGTAATGTACATATTTGAGAATTTTACAACATTATGCAGGCCAAATGATTAAACCTTAAATCCTTGGATGTTCCTTCAAACAAACCTTAGTGATCTAGCTCTTATATAAAGCAGATTAAGTCACATATTATTACTAATATGTGACTTAATCATACTGCTTGTATTTCTTACTTTTCTGAACATATTATTGAAGATAACACACACACAAAAATATCTTTTTGGCTTTATGCATTTCTTTTAATTCCTAGAATTACTTTATTTCAAAATAAATAAAATTAATGAATACATTTCAGCAATATAAACATGAAATCTATCATACACATAAGCTACTATAACGTCTCATAGACAGACACCTACTGAACCCAAATTATTCAGAACAGAATCATGAAACATGAATCACATTCTCTTGTTTGTGGTCTTTGCAACAGGGTTGTGCGCACCGCTCCACTGTTTTGCAGTCCATCCTGGATCGACAGATTTGGCATCTCCAGCTTTTTTGTGGGAAATCCTCATCCGAAGTAGTTTTGTTTCTGGAAAAAATAAAAAAATAAATAGACTTCAAGAGCAGCCCTTAGCATTTGGAAGGTTTTCTTTGTAAGATCTGGCACTTGTGGCTTCCAAAGATGGAAATTTTCCCCAAAAAACTACTAAACTGTGTTTATAGCATTAAGGTCAAGGCATTAAGGTAACTATATGAAGTTCCTTCATCAGTCCTAACTCCTCTTGGGACTACTACTTTTAGAGTATTGTGACCGTCTGAGCTAGATTTGAATGCTCCACTTCTGCTGTTAAACGATCTGATTCATAAATGGCACAAAACAAACACTGCATCACCAGAACCTCAGGTACATCTTCATTTTCAGAGATGCTGACGCCGAAACCTCCAACCTCAAATAAACTGCTGCTCAGCACTAAGCCTGACACCCAGCTGCTGCACCACCATGTTACTGTGACAGTAAGATAATGTAAACATACTTTTTCATCATTGCGTCTGCATGTAGTCATAGAAACAGTGAGACAACCGTGTCATAATGAGGCCAAACAGGAAAACACAACACTCAAACATACCTCGAGTCAAAAGCAACCCTTATAAACAGGTGCTCATAGCGGCTGGAAACAAGGCTTATGAGAGCTAAACCAAAACAGTTCGCTAAAAGAGACTAAAATGCTCTGTTCGGCTGGAACTACAGAGTTGGGCGATGATTCTCAGTGGGCACGTCAGTACGAGCGATGCTGTTCACATTACACATTTGAGTTATTGTTAATATTAAAATAGTCATGAGGGCAGCTTTAATATGACTAACTTGTGTAGCCGCCTTGTGGTAAATGTCTCAAAAATGAAACCAATATTTTCCACAGTCAGGAGCTCAACTGGAATAGTAAACACTGAGTCGAGTCACCAGAACCGGAGAGTTATTTGCTCTGCATCCATGGAATGTGTAAAACTAACACTCTGATCTTCCAAGCGTGATTCCTCCGTTAGCACAGGCATCATTCTGTTCACTTTGACGATAGAGGGAACTCTCCTTTCCCTGCATGGCGAGCGGCCTGCTGTGCTTTTTAATACCGGCTCGTCTAATAGCTGAATATGGCGGATGCTCTGAATAATGTGGCTCTGAGTGCCGTGCACCAGAAGTGCAAGCAGCCAGGGAGATGAATTGGCTCTTTGTAGACTGGTTCAATGATCGCCCAAATGTTTTATTGAGTGAAATGTTTTGACCAATGATATATGAACCATAAATATGTATTGAACACATGGTTTGATGAATTGGTTAACAATGTTTGGACCTCGGCTGAGGATTTTCACTCCGCATGGCGTGCTATCACTAGGGAGGCACGATGAAGGAGGGAAAAAAAATAAATTGGAAAAGCAGAATTAGAAGTGCATCTATTACTATGCATCAATATAAAGTGATCCGCTGCTGTGGGTGTTTTCGAATGAAGAGAGGGGAAAAAAATGGCTTGCACTGAGAAAAACATGGAAGAGGTCAGAGAGGATGTTTGATTGTGTTTGGCCTGTATGCTACATTTCGATTGGCCTGAAATTGCCCAGAGGACTCAAATTAAATCAAACGTCCACAAATAAAACACGGTTTTGGTTCAAGTAAACAGAGGCGAACAAATAGAGTACTCCCAAATAAACAAAGTGCACTCCTCTGGTTTTTATCTGTTTGGCCATTTGAAATGAGACCCACTCGCCCTGACAGAATGTTCTCAATTTATGTAATTCTAAAATCCTCAGCAACAAACTTACTGAGCAAGAACACGCCATCTGTCTATCATAGTCTAGTCAAACTTACAGGAATAAAGATAAAATATGCATCAAACTTTGTTTATATAGCAAAAGAAAATACATCTTTACATTTGTAAAGATGTTTACCATATCAGGGGCCAGATGCATAAACTGTGTAGGCACAAAGACAGAAATGTGCATTCTTTCTGACAGATTTATAAAGCTGTGCGTACATTTATATAAACAGGCACGCAATCAACTGCATATGAATCCCTCCTTTTGCTTCTCATTAAAAAAAAATAGCAAAGATTTTGGGTCATTTTTTTTTCTGAATCACACAGGCGAGGCCACTTCAACGGCGTCATCCATATGCCCTCTACAAAAATGTCATCTGACACATTTTCTGCCCTCATAATTACCAGTTCATAAGTGGAAAATGGCCCCAGGATGGCGTGGAAAGACAGAACATGTGCTTTTAGATGTTTTTATGTAACATGTTAAGCTCGTTGCAGTGTTAATTCCACGATGTGTGCTCATCGTGCTTTGGGAGTGCTCCAGAGATGTATTAATACATTTCCATGAAGTTGAGACAGATTTAAGAAAGGAGAAAAAAAGTTTACTGTCCTATGCTTCCCATAATGCAACTCAATAGTGGCTCTTTTAAACCCCACACCTCCAGTTCATTACAGTAGCACTCCTTGTGATGTTACTTAATGTATACAACCTTTCATTTTTTTAATCTAGAGTCCCTTAAAGATAGCCATTAGGTGCCTAATTCCACAGTGCCGGAAGCTCGAGGCAGCGTTGCGAGCTGCAGAACAACCAGGAGAGCAAACATGATCCTAGTCCCAAATGAGTGTGAAGCACACGCCAGCATGCGGTCCTCACAGCTGTAGCATCCATTGGAAACTGGCAGCTTTTTATAGCCTGCCAATGGCACAGACCTCGCACTACAAAGAAAAGCCTCTACCGCTCTATCTTTACCTTCTAACTGACGAAAACATCAGTAAATATGTCAAAATCTGCATTCTCAGTTGAGGATAGGAGATGTTTTGTCGAGCTTTGTAATGAAAAGTAGTTCCTAGCACAGAAACGTATCACAATGACAGCGGCTGCACAGAAAGATCTATGACTCCGCCATCGGGTGAACCAGTATTTGGCTATGGGAACTCACACTTAAGGGTCAGAGGTGACGCTTTGACCAGACTGAACTTTGCAGATGGCGTCATGGCACCATTACAGAGCTGCGTATTCTGATTCATTGCAGAGCAGCTGTGCAGCGGCAGATTGAGTTTTACAATTTCTACATATATACAGGCTTATAGTGAATCATACTATAGTCATGACTCTTTCCAGTTGAGGAAATGCTCAGGCTTGCTCTCATTTTACATCAAGGCCAGCAGCGCCAAAATACGAAGCATCATACGGTACCAGCACTTACCGAAGGCCTTTATCGTCATGCCGATCTTGTTTGTACATGTTCTCTCAGATATGATCTCCATGGGGGTTCGCTCTCCGTAGGTGGTGCTGTTTTCTTTGTCTAGTCCTCTTTTCATTTTGACTAAAAGACAAATGTAGAGAGACAAAGTGAAGAGAAGTGGCCATTACTGTGCTACACTACAAGTTCACTGCCCTTTGCGACTGCTCTCCCATGTGTTTCAGTAGTCTGACATGATCTCCTAGGTGCACTGGGATTTTTCCTGTGGTTTTAAATTCGCCTTCTCTTGTTAGGGAGAATGGTACTTTCTTTAATCCTAAATTAGAATGGGGGGAAGTGATGTCTCGATTTTACACAGAGGTTATTAAAGCAAAAACTAAAAATTGAGATTAGATGTGAAAAAACATTTTAGTTATCAGAAATCAAAATAAAAACTAGGCTTTAGAAAATATGAAAAAAATAACTGAAACCATATTATGTACCCACAAAACTGAAATAAAATAAAAATATACAGTATGTGTCTAATTTTAGTCTTTTAAGCTTGAGGAAGCATTGGTTCGTTAAGACTGGGAAGTCAACATTACTGTGAGTTAATATGTTTTTATTGTAATACCTATTCTGGCAAATACCCCCGATATTATAATCATACAAAAAATAAAAACTAACACTGAAATTAATAAAAAACTAAAACTTGACATTTTGAAACAATAAAACTTGGAAACTAAACTCTGGAAACTAACTGAAACTAAAGTTTATAAAAATAAAAACTAATGAGAAATACAAAACAGATCTACACACAGATCTTTCACCATCATTTAGTAAAATTTAATTTTTAATTGATTCATCTATAAAACAAGGAAAATGTTATTCTTGCAATTGGTGCTCACCTATTTTTTCTCTCTCTCTTGTTGTACTGTGTGCTTCATTTGTACAATACTTTGGTCAACTCTTGTTTTAAACGAGCTACATAAATAAACCTGACTGCACTTTGTTTGCTTTATGCAATTTGACACATTGAACTGCGGGTAAGAAATAGAAAGGTGCTATTTTTTTTTTTTTTTTTTCTTAAAAAACTTTGAAACTATAATAATTTACTGACTTGCCCAAAATAGCTGAGGACATAACTTTGTAAGGAGTGCAGTATTTTTCACAGGGATGACCTACCACCTTACAGCACTGGTTTAAAAAGAAGCAAATCTGAATATAAATAAAAATAACTTCATATAAGAAGTCACTATTCTGTTCAAATCAAGCGGCGATAGAGAACAGCAGAGCATTTATTTATGTGAACATGTCTCGGATTATTATGACAGTACGCTGAGGGTACTGAGGAGCAACTCAGCCGAAATGTCACGGTATAAAACTGCAAAGCACGAATGTTGTGTGGGTGTGCTTTGAATTTTAATTGATACAGTCATTCATGCGGTTAAAGTTGGCGTTACCTTTTCCAAATGGTGGCTAAGCTGCATGTTATTTTGAAGTGAAACTTTTCAAAATGCTCTTGCTTTTTGGTCAACTACGCCTCATGAACGTACCACTTCAACTCACACTTCCATGGCTTAATTTAAAACACGGCTCTTGTTTTGTTGATGTTTTTCTCATAAAGACAATTCATTTCATATATGACTAATTGAACTTGTAAAACATAATTAGAAATAGATAAATCCACTCTGCAAGAGGAGGTAGGAGTCCTTCAATATTGTCACCATCTATTGTTATGCTGGATATTTTAAAGAGAGGTATGTCAATGCAAACTACTCCACTGCATACAGCAGTTTATGTGTACAAACTAAAGGAAATACATGCAAACAGAAAAGAAATCTGCAGAAAAAAACAAATCTTTGCCAAATCGACGACGCACGTGCAGCACGGCAACACCCCTTTGATCGCAATCTGTTAATTGATTTCTGTGTTTGCGTGATTGTACTACTTCAGTTGCGGAGAAACTGTAACAGCAACCAAAGACGCCTCCCTAGTTATTAATGTTTGTCGATGAAAATAAAGAATGGTACGTGAATGAATCAAACGTTCTCTCCGCGAGCCAACGTGCTTTTCTTTTCCTCTCTCTTTTCTGTTTCCAAGAGGCTCATGCAGGCAGAAATATACAGCTTAATGGTCTTGAACAGCAACACACTTGTAATAATTAGTCCAGTAGTTCTCTGCCTTTCTCAAATTAATTATAGGCTATAGATTTTTATTTATACCTCCTTTATTGCTTCCTCGCGTCTGTTCCGTTCTTTCTTTAGTAAACATACTTTAATTGTTTTATTTCTATCAGTCACAATCTTTGACCCTGTCACCGCAATCGATCTATACTCAGAATTAGAGAAGTCTTCAGCTGCTCTTAAATGTTACTTAATTATTCAGCGTGTTTCTCTAATTTGCAGAAGCTTTATTTCTTCTTTCTTCTTCTTTCAGTTTTTTTGCGGAACGTGTTGTAAGGTTGATGTTTTCTTTTTTTTCTTTTTTTGTTTAGGGGGCGGCTGTGGCACAGAGGCAGAGTGGGTCGTCCCCTAATCGGAAGGTTGCTGGTTCAATCCCTGGCTCCTCCTGTCACATGCCGAAGTATCCTTGAGCAAGATACTATACCCTGAATTGCTCCCAATGCTGAGCATCGGTGGGTGAATGTGTATGAATGAGTTAATTTCTGTTTGATGGGCTTTGCCATCACTGAGTGAATGTGTGTGAAAGGGCTTTGAGTGGTTGGAAGACTAGGAAGGCTCTATACAAGTACAGGTCCATTTACCATTTCTTTGTTTGCTTGTGCTCTATTTACCTGTGTCTTCAGGGCCTCCGTAAAACAAATAGCCAACAGAACAACAGTAGAGGACACGTTCCAAGAATACAAACACTACAGGGTCACCAGAGTTTAGAGCATGCATAGCACGATGTTAACTGTAAAAGAAGGCTCAGACTTTAAATAGGAGTTTAATGTCCATTAAACATCTCAGGTCCCTCTGAAAGAGTGAAGAAAATGAGGAGGAGGAGGAGGGTGGGCGGTGGTGTTATGTGGGGGGAAAATAATGCGACAGACACTCCACTCAATCTAGAATCCTCGGTAATATGCGTCATCGACATGGATTAAAAAGTAAACTACTCGGTGGGGGACCTGGGCCATTACTGTAATGATGAAAGGTGGACGAGCTCTTGGTTGTCAGCGAGGGAGAGCGTGCACTTCTTACCTCCAGACTTCATTAAAAGGAGATTCATCGGGCTTAAGCCTGGAAGACCACTGCTGCGCGGAGGGAACAGGGGGAAAGGTCGATGAGAGTGCAGGGCCTCTGCAGTGCATGCATCGACATCTGTATGCGTGGGCTTGAATGCCCCATGCATACATGTTTGGGTTGGTGTTGTTTATCTGTTATCACGTGCTTCTTGCCTGTGCTTCGGTTGCAGATCTGATCGTCGTGCCTCACGCTCCTCTCACCTTGCTGGTCATGGTCAAGATGAAAGACATCTGTTTCCCTGATGAGGGCCTCGGGGCGCAGGCTATTCCTTATCGGTTGCGCCACATGGCCTGGGGGATTAGCATTGATAACTGTCAAGTGAAACATCACTCTTTTGAGTTTTAATTAGCGGCGTCAATTCAGCAAAAGCTTTGCCCCGTCAAGGTCACCTACAGACCGGAAAACTTCAGTTCCCCACATGCAGATAGCAAAGACAGAGGCCCGCGTAACATCACAACCTCATCTTCTATTCAACATATTTGACAAGAAACCTAAAAAAAACCTCCTTTTACTAAAATTGGAGCCTCCAAGGGAACAATTCTGTCACATTTTATACTCGCCTTCATACTAAATGGCGAGGACCAGACCTACGGAGACGAGGCTGACTGATTTGTCAGCTGCTGTGATGTTAATGACATTATTTTTTAAAAACCAAGGAGCTGTATTTACATGTAATCAACTGGCAGACGCTTTTGTTCAAAGCAAGTACAGTCTTAGCCCCAGTAAATGAAGGAAAAACCTTAATCTACTGTGTATATTGGGGGAAACAGCATTACTGTCAATGATAGGAACAGGATTAACAAGTAAAATAAATAAATAAATGAATAAATACAATTTAAAAAAAGGCTGCTTCTATAATTGGTTTGACTCTTGAATAGTTAGAAAAGGTTTTGATGAAGAGAAGCGGGAGGACATTTCACTTCAAAAGTCAGTGGCTCTTTGGTGACTTATAGCGCCGCCATGAAGTTGAGCTTCCCCTCAGCACGAATTGTAATTACTTTGACGGATCCCTTACCTTTTTTTTTATATCTCGCGCCATCATCGCATCTCATTTTGATCTTAATCTGCCCAAAACTGTGCTTCATTAATAAATACCTGCAGAGCAAATGGCGATCCCATCAGCCTCAGCTGTACGTTTTTGTGTTTTACATTTAGCTCAAAGCACCAGAGTGCCTAAGTGCTGCCTCGCATAGCCGCTAGCATGGCTGTAGCCTCTTGAATATTCATTGCCTCGTTGTTTTATTAGTCCAATTTGTAGGTGCGTCACTCGTGGTCAACCTTTTATTTATTAATCGATTGATAATATCATACCTTGTTATTTTTAATGTAGAGGCGAGGCACGCTCCCGAGCTTGACATAATGTCCTCTTGGAATATGTATTAGTGTTGGCAGTGTGTCATATGTTATGTCTGTCTCGTGTCCTTTTTGTTATTTGTCGCTGTGCATGGGCGGCCAAACCAATTACCCCTTTGGGGATTAATGCGCCATCCGAAGATCCACAGATAAGAACGCAAATACATAAAATCACTGTCAAATAACACAGAAGGTAATGGGAACGTGGACAGTGCTTTAAAAGTCCCTGCAAACCCACCATTAGTAGGGAAGTCAAAGCTGTAAGGAAGGGATGACAAGGAGGAAATACAAAGGAAAGAAAGATTATTAAAGTACCCCCCAGACATGTGTTATGACGTATAAATACAGTCTGCTTGGAGCAATAATGTAGGTCTGATTTGTCCATTCTTAGTGTATGTGCACCGGTGGCTTCAGGTTTCTACACCAAGCTTGTATAAGTTGCATACCAGACCAGGATTAGCTTCCAAACGATTTATGATGTCACAAATCATGCTTGTAGGCCCCGCCTCTTCAAAATCAGATTTTCAGTGACATCCTTCTAATGTCTGCACATACACCATCCTGCACAGCGGAGCTCGAACATCCAACTGTAGGAACAAGAAGAGAAACAGATTTTTTTTGAATGTCGGGGGACTTTTAAGAGCACTGCCTTAAATTAACTTGACTGCATTTAATTCAATCACAGGCAATTAATCGTTCCACGGTTACTGGCAAAGTCTCAAATTGGCAAGGTTACCGATAGTTGCCAGTTTATCAAGATGTGGAGTTTTCACAGCTGCTGATTCCACACGAGCATGTGATAAGTTAATCTTCCAGCACTCCCAGTGGTCCTCAGGTAGCACTGTGAACGCTGTGGGAGCAGATTAGGCACTCAGTGTTCCTCCCGCTCCAGTAGCTAATTCTAATTAGCATTACGTGCTGACCCAGTGACCTAGCACCAGCAATACCTGACACACAAACCATCATTCGGGATCAGGGCTAAAAGTGAGCTGGGTTTCGCAGTTTGCACGTATGGCACGCTGGTGGAACCAAATTAACTGAGTGAATATCCAACAGTTTACAGACAGCTCTTGTCTCTCCCCGGCTCTTATCTGGTGTCCTCAGATGTAATCTCAATGGAGAGCTGACAGGCTGGATGGCTAATTTCCTGACTGGGAAGCCTGAGTATGTCCACGTGGAAAGCACAATGTCAGAGTCGTTCCGTCAGCGGCCACCCCGCGGGGCAGTGTACTAGCATCTTAATTCCGGTTTGGGAATACAAGGTTTGGCTAAATGTACTACATGTAAACAACTCAGTGGTCTGTCTTGGGACTTGGCCCTCTTAAAAAGGGGTTGTTATTCACATGTGCTAGGCTCTGTCTGCCCCTATTTATGCCTGCAATGGACAGTGCAGTGTTTCAGCTGTCTGCTTTTACCGTTGCCTTTAGTGACATTGATACAGATGCCTGATATTTTGGACAGTTTTTTTTCAGTGGGTTAGGGGCAGTGACTCCCTTGTCTATGAGCACATTCGTGATGTTCTGATCTACAGAGAGCAGTGAAGCTTGAAAGGATAGCATGACCTCAGACTGTCCATGTATGCTTCAACTAAAGGTATTGGGAGTAACTTCTGTTTCCACAATCATTAATATTCATCACTGAAAAATTTTGCATTTCCTTCAGAGTTTCAGTTATTTGACTCTGGAGCTGAAGTGGTACTGAACTGTCAAAACTGCCATCCTGACAATTCTTCAACAGGATGGAGACAGGAAGTAGATGAGAGAGGCGTTTTCATATTGAACTGTCACTTCTCTGGGACAATATTTCCATTTGTAAAAAGCACTATAAGCCGCACTGTGGACTGCCTAACCACCCACAACTGAAATCAACACAAACTTCTGGTACAGTTGTTTTTAAAAAGGAAAAAAGCATTTGAAAAAACTGGTATATAAACAGTGATTATAACAAATCAAATGAGTGCAGCCAGTGTTTATCTTCACTGTGTACAGCAGGGGTCTCAAACTCAAACTGCTGGTATTGTCATCTCTTTGGAGGGCCACTTCCATTTATATGTGGATAGAATGGAATTTTATATCATCATTTCATACCATTTTTTTATTCAAAGCCAAACAACAAATGAAGTCCTGAAACCTGCTCTCGCCTTATCAACCATTTGCACCCACTTGCAGACACCTTTGACCTTTACCGTTATTTTTCATTAAACAAAATTTGTTGTTTTTTATTCTAGTTGTATATAAAAGGCATAGTTTAAATTGATATGAAATAACGAGAAAAAATAACTCAGGCTGTATTGTTTTATATTTTTGACATCTTTGACATCTGTTGCAGGCCGGAAGGAGGGGGTGGAGGGCCAGAAATGGCCCCCAGGCCTGCATTCTGAGTTCCCTGCTGTACAGTGTTGCCGTCTATTGGTTTCATAAGATTTAGGCTACAATATCAACCTTGTCTTGAGCTTCAATTACCTTCAAATGTTTCAGTTTTTTTATCCGTCCAAGAGAATGATGCCATCCATGATCGATTAACTGACAATTTCCTCTCGCTCCACCCCTCTCTTACAGTCTACTGGCTATTGCACATGCTCTGCAGAGAAACAAAGAGAGAGAGTGGGACATGTGTAGGATTTAGTAGCATCTAGTGGTGTGGTTCTAGATTGCAAGTCCCTCGTTTTACCTTCCCCTTCCAAGCGCAAAAGAGGATCGCGCAAGAAACGCCCCCTATCTAGAGCCAGTGTTTGTTTTTTTCCTTTTTGGGCTACTGTAGAAACATAGCGGACTCCATGGAAGGCATCCTGCGGCATCTGTAGATATAAAAACATGAAGTAAATAGGCAAGAAAATGCACATTGGTTGTTAAAAAAGGAGCTTATACAGTTATTATATGTCTTGTTGCCTCACTTAGGGAGATGCACTTGACTTGATAAAAAGTAGCACACAAAACAAAAAATGTGTGAACTACTGTAGCTTATAACTCCACCCTATCATAGCATGTGCTGTAGGCTGAATTTGTTCCAAGATTGGCATCAGGCATTATTTACGGGTTGGAGAAAAACAGCAGGACAATAAATTATTTCAGAAGCTTGTTAGCCAGTTGAACTCTGTGCAGATCCTTTCTGTAGGCCAAAACATTCTGTTAGTTCCTTATTTTCTGGTCCAATACATGTCAGCGTGGGGGGGGAGAAAAACACACACGATGGGATTGCCTTGATTTATGTGAGTGGTTAAATCATTTTCTTCATTCTGGAATGTAAAATCATGACATGCTGTATGTAATTTACTTGGTTTAGATGTATATTTGTACTGCAGATTGTGTAGAATCATTTACAGTAAATCAAATTTCCAACCCCTTTAGTGTTTGTCACACTGGAGGAAGTAATAGACACCTGAGCTGCATTGTAAGTGCAGCTTAATTTGTTGTTATACTTTACAATCCTAACACAACAGGCCCAATTAGGGTGATTAGCTTTGACAATCACATTTATTAGACATCTAGTCTTCCGCCAACTGTGTCATACCCATCAGACATTCACATCCCTTCACAGCGCTAAAGCTGCTCCTCATTTCAAGTAGAAATAGATGCCAAGCTGAGTGTTGCCTCCTGTCTGCTCAGCGCTCCCATACATCCATATTGTAATACCTGTGTGCACGAACATCTGCTCGCAAACTATGATTGGGCTGAATGGAGGACAAACACAGAAGGATAGAAAAGTGGAACAACTGCCAGTAGATGGCTTCTCATTTGTGTGTTTTTTATTGCTTAGCTGGAGTACAAATGCCTTTTTTTTTCACCACCAGTGAAAGCTGCACACAGTAATCAGCACTCCCTGTCCAGTCCTCTGCAGTGCACAGTATCGCCTGTTCACCCTGAATCCATTCTTAGATGTCAAACTGTAATGCCTCGGGGCAATATCCCACAGATGAGATCATATGATCAAAGAGGTCATCCAGCATGCCTGTGGAATATGAGCAAAGTCAGCCAGCTCAAAAGGTACCAGGTCAGCTAACAGGCACACAGTCTCTATATGTGCGATACTGCGTCTACTAGGTGTCCTTGATTTTATAATGAGACCGTTTGGGCTCTTAAAATTATTCATAGCTGGTGGGTGGACCTCATTATTGACATTGCGAGCGATGCAAACGACTGTAGCTCAAGCATCATGAATATCAGGGACAAATGTGGAATATTAACACGTAACATGTGGCTCTATCAGTAACAGGACGGAAGCTGCTTGACCGGTTAAAGCAAGAAACGTGCCTGTTCCTCTCCTAGTTCCGCTTTCACAATTAATACAGTCTATTAAGCTCTGTTAAGGCTAGAACTTGTCCTTTGTGTATTCCTGTAAGAGATGTGTTTTTTATCCTTAAAGGCCCAGTGTGTAACATTTATGAGGATCTATCGGCAGAAATTGAATAAAATATTCATAGGTATGTTTTCATTAGTGTACAATCACCTGAAAATAAGACTTGTGTTTTTGTTATCTTAGAATGAGTTTTTCTTATCTTAGAATGAGTTTTTCTTATCTAAGGAGTGGGTCATCTTTGGCGAGGTCCACCATGTTGAACTGCCATGTTTCTACAGTAGCCATCATAGTTTCTCCTGTACGTCTTGAAGGGGATCGGTTTTTAGTTGGTTGCAGTCTGCAACTTCACCACTAGATGCCACTAGTTATTACTATTTTCTTTTACAATAATACAGTATTGCATGAATGTCCAAAACAATTGCAGTGCTCTTTTGCAACAACACAAGCCCACTGTAGCTGCAGTTAAAAAGACATGACAAAATGTAACGATTGATTGATTGATTGATTGACTGATTGACTGATTAGTTACAACATAACAGGCTTGGGGATAAACCAGCTGAACCGCATTGCCTTTTTTACTTTCCTAAAAGCCCCAAGCCTTCTTAAAAGATGTGTGGCCATGATGCAAGAGCTCTTTCTTTCTTTGCATCATTTTTTTTTTTTATTTGAAGTCTGGTTTGAATGGAGAAGCTTCCAGTATTAAAATTTTTATTTTATGATTTATTTAAAGTGAGAGTTCTGAATAGCAAACGTATGTGGACACAAGTGACAATTAGGAGGTGAGATAACTGGTATACCAGACCAATAAAGGCTGTATCAGTAAAGGCCCTGGGTGTATTTACTCGATAGTCAATTGCTCATTGTTTCTGTTTCTCATTTGTAAGAGTAGAGGTGTGTTATTTTTTCTCTCAGAAGTTACATAACCTCACTTTAAAGAGATAAGAATGATCTTGTACAAGCTCAATTCGAACACCCCTATTGGGCTATTGGGAATAGATATATATCCTAAATCATAAATCCCCTCTTATTTCACATTCAGTAACAGTTTTAATGATGTCTCAGTATGTGTCACCTTTTGCACAAAACTAAAACTGAATGAAACATGAAAATGGTTTGAAGCGGCTGTGTGTGAATGAGCCGGAAGGAAAGAAAAGCTGAAAAGGTGTTCCTTGAGTTCTCACCTCCTTTATTTATGTTGCCGCTCTATGTGTTCCTGAAAGGCAGTGAGGTGTTCTGGTATATTCCTCCAGTCATGAGAATAACTTTGTACTGAAAAA